CTCTCTTTCTAAAGAAACTAGGCAAATTAACACCCGGGTTTATGTGTATACTACAAACAGTTAGATTTTTTTAATAAGGTACCAGTTTTTTTCAGTGTCAAAACCCAGTTTTTGACCAACTTATATTCTGAATACTTATGATGCGTTTGATCTTCTTGATGTTTAGGGTCTTAGGCCAAGGCGTCGACCCCGAAATGCCTTTGGCTGATTGAGGGGAAAACAAATACAATGTCGAAAGAGTTGTACGGCGGTCTTGAGTCACCCTCGCCAGTCCCGGGGAGATCGGGAGAACTATTTATATAATACTTATAATCTATATATACTTTAATTATAAACTTTTGTATTTTTTTTAATAATAAAATAAAAAAAACAAAACAATATAAAAGGTAATCAAATGGTTTTATTGAACTAAATACATACTTTTATTGTAAGGTTCTTATTTGAGGAAGCGTTTAGACGACGTCAACAGACAACGCTTACACCTTCCCAAATTTGACGGTAGAGACACGCTGCAATACACTGTATCTGTCCGAATCTGAACGAACAGGGAGACAATCTAAGTGTCTCCCGGTCGATATCAATTGAGTTACTCTCTCATTACAGTTTACTGTCATGTTAAACTGGTTAGTATAAAGGGAGATTCTACTCACCCGAAATAAAACGCCTGAAATACTGTTCAGGCGGGCGACACTTCCCAAGTATGTACACAATTTCGTCATATTTTCACCACGTCAACTGCGCAGGATTTTGGGCCTTCATTTGACGCGAGCCAAGGAGCTGTGTTTTCGTTACCCCTAAAGAGATTATCCTAAAACCTTTTATCGACCTTTATTCCCAGACACCTTTTGCTTGGCAGACTCTATATTACGTGGAACAAATCGGCCTATTATCAGGGTACAGATGGGATGAAATAATAAAAAGCTAGTATTTAGATACCTATCTAATACTAGCTATCTAAAGTACTTAACTCGTATTCAAGTCAAAGTACTAACGAGTGAAGTCACTTTCACTCTGTAGCAACGATTTAATAATTGGCTCAGTAAAGTTCTAACTCCAGTCTCCCGATTCCATATTTTCAGTGTCGAGCGGTGACGGTCTGAACTTCACTAAAAGTCGAGCAAATTATGAAAAAGCGGAGTAAGACTTTCTTCCTCCACTTTAACCACGGTTGCACTGCCGGGCAGATCCACACACCACGCCCTGCCCCTCTACATCAAGTAAACTCACCAAAGTGTGTTTTTTTTCACAAAAAAAAAAACGCTGAACGTTTTAATAGAAAATTTAACTGTTTGTAGTATACCACATAAGCACCCTTGTAAGTTTGCCCGCTAGCTTCTATTAGAAAGAGCAGAGAACTGAAGTTATGTATGAAAAAAGGCTTTATTCCAGGGTACCTCAGAGTGGCCTTCCCTCCCTGAAGCCGGACTATATCACAAGCCACTGCAGTGGGTATCCTAAGACGTCTCAACGGCTCTTCGGTTCATCCGGCCACCCGCCGGTGATTGCCGAGCTGTCACTGCAGTCTAGATTTGACGAACGGGACGGAGGTTATCCTCATCGCTTGCAGGGAGGGGAAAGGCCCCCTGGAGGTACCCTGGAGTACCGCGACTTCAGCTTATTAAGGTAAATCGAATCCTTGGAAGGATTGGCTCACTTTACTGGGCCTTCAGGAGTCACCGTCGGTACTATTCACGGGCAAGCTTAAGAGTGTACTATCCTTCCCTCCCAAAGTTTGAGGAAATATTGGAGGAAATCGAATCCTTGGTGACCTTGAGGGAAGGCTTTCCCCTCTCCTCTCTTTACCGACGGGGGTGTTACCCGAACGTCGGGCGCGTAACGGCAGTGTGTGTCCAGCGGCAA